CTGACAAAGGTCCTGCCGAAGACCCACGTCAGCTCCCCGGTGTGCACAGAGACACTCACCAAATCACAACACTCCTTCAGTGCTTTCCCAGACAGCTTTTAACCAGTCTATTTAGTGCAAAGGAATGCCTGGACTGGGATTTAAAGTGCTAAACATCTATGCCAACATTTTTTCTTTACAGTGCAAGGAGCTTTTGAGACCCTTCAAGAAGTCACTTAGGAAACTGCAATTGCCCCAGCATGTCCCCACAGAGAAAAAACTGAAGTACATGAAGACAAGTTTGACCCTAATCGGGGACCAGATCGATCTGTTTCTCCAGCGGCACTGCAGACCCATGGAAGTCACGCACTGGCAGAAGTAAGGGTCTCCTCTTCCTGGTGCTGGTGGTACCATGCCGGCGATGCTCCCAGCGTGACAGGCTCCAGCCCCCGCTGCTCCCAGCAGGCATTTTGACATCTACTTTGGCCCTACGTTTCCAGGCACTGGAAATCAGATTGGGTATCTACAGGAGACTTGTATAGCTTGCTCTAACTGCCAAATACTCACAGATCTTGCAGGTAATTTTAGCAGAGGCCATGTGGTACCTAATGCTGCCCAGAGCAAGGCCAATTTCAATGTGCTGCCCATCAGCAACATCCCTTTGCCAGTAAAGGGGCTCCTATGTAGCCATCCGAGTTAACAGATAACCATTCCCGCGCTTAGGGAGGAGCAGTTCTTTAAGAGCTTATAAGCTTTATGGAAGGGGGAAAAAAAAAATAAATAAATAAACTGCACAAAGGGTATGTCGGTGGCTATACTCACCAAGCCAGAACTAGGGAGCAGAGTGAGGAAGAGGATGAAGTTTGTACTCACATGCATAATCTGCTTGTCTTTCTTTTCCCAAGGATGTTCTGGCGGTTCGTCTCCCTCTTCTCAGAGATGGATGAAAGGCAACTGCAGAAGCTGTATACGTACATCAAGAACAATGAAATGGATAAGTTTCTGGTAAGCAAATAGGAAAGTTAATACCCAGTAAGATGTTCCTGCTGTGCTGACTTTAAGGGGATAACTATATCATACAGCTTACATGGGTTGATCCATCTCAAAGGAAAAGCCTGCTACTGAGAAGTAGCAAGGCCATGAATCCTGCACATATTGCTGATTCCTACCATAACACAGGCACTGAGCTACTGCAGCCACCAGCACCTTTCCCTGGCGAGCTCTGGGAAGCTGAGCTGGTGTCCTCAGCACCGTGGTTTACAATTTTTGCAGCTGTTTGCTGATCCCATGTTTCCAGTCATGCTTTACAGACCAAACATGACCCATAGTTTTATCTGATTACATAGGACCTAAGCTTTGAATCAAGCAACTGGCTCAGGTAAAGCCTGTGTTTGCCAAAGCCAATTTCTGTGCCTGAGCATCAGCCATGCAAGGAAACTGTAACGAACAGTTTCCTGAGAACACCGACTCCGAAGGGTTAACCCATTTAAGCACACTCATAACCAATCATAAACATATCTTCTGAGCAAAGGCTGAGTACACCAGGAAGTTCAAAGGTCCACAAGAAACACATACTTTAAGAAGTTTATTAAAAAGAAATTAAAAACAGATCTATAATTTTAAAAAGTCAGCAAGAAAATTGTTTTGAGTAAATCAGAAAACAGCAGCAGGTGAGACCTCGTTGTGTTACCGGAACACTACTTGCTTTGCGTTAAAAAAGGAGCTGTGGTCATCTGATAGCTGGCAGTGATAAGGCCATAAATAACTTTGAGGCCACAGGTAAACAGCTGTCTCCTCCAGTTAGAGAAGAAGGGGGGCTGGCCCCACAGTTTTAGCTTTTAGTTTATGCAGAAGCAAAACCATTTATTTATTTTTAAGGCTCTAAAAGATACTTCAACAATGAGGAAATCAAACCTATTGTAAAGAAAAAAAAAACCAAACACAAATTCCTGTTGCTAGCGTGAGATGCCTGAGATTAATTGGGAGATATTAAAAAGAGCAACTGGCAGCCCTGGGAGGACAGCGGCGACAGGCGTTCTTGCTCCCTTAGAGTTGCGAGCGCTGCAGAGGGGGAATGGAGCTCCATTTCCGGCACAGCCCTTCCCAGCGGCTCGGCAGAGCCCAGGACACGACCTCAGCTAAGCACAAGCCCCGCTGCTTCTGCAGGGCTCGTGGCTGAGGGCAGCTCCCCATCTCCATCCCAGAACAAGCATTAAAATGGAAATAACCCCCCCAAACACCTTCCCATCCTTTTGCTCTCCAAAATAAAAACCACAACGGGAACACACAATTCCACATCTTCCTTTCCAAGGAGGAGGGGGAAAAAAGTAAAAGGGGAGGGGGGAACCCAAATGGTGGGTGACAAGCATTAGCCAGACTGCG